GTTCTTTGGCCGTCCTGTAAACCACGCTCTTCTTCCTGTGTTTTGGAGACTGTTCATCCGTGGCACCTCCTTTTTTTGCGTAGATTTTTCTTCTGGGAGACTCAGTAAGAAAGTGCCCTGATAATTTGAGCACTCCCTGTGATCTCCCTTCTTGAACAGGGGGCACTACACCCCCATTCTTCAGTTCTCTGGTGTGTTCCCCATATCCGGTGCAGTTTGACAGACACGCGTAAGTCTGTACATGCCTTATTTGCCGATTGATTTGAGCATTTCAGGACGGATTTCATCAATTCCAGCAGCGTTTCCACTTTTGAAGCTTTTCACAGCTTTTGTGGTTTAATCTATAAAATTAATTATATGCGTTCCCTGCTACTCTAGAAGTCAGTCTTTCTATTGTCAATCGCAGTTAAGCAGTTCCTCATAGCAGTTTCTTCATTGCGGAAGAATCTCTTCATCTTTGGTCAGATGTGTCCTGATTATTTCTTCATGGGTTTTAGAATACCTTTCTTGATCTAGGTCGCGACTGATAGTCTGCCAGTATCCCTTGTTTGCCGTCAGGAAATTCGTTTCCGGCACCTCACCTAACCTCTCTGAAGATTCAGCTATGCTTTTTCCAACTGCTTTCTCTTCATACTGCGTGCGGGTTGAAAGCTCTTTGCTTCCAAGTCATCCCTTGAATGCAGGTTCAACCAGTTGTGCCTTTCTTGTCGACCTGGAATTTCTTTTCTGTCCTCCAGGCGGCAGGCCATCCGTTTAAATCCGCAACATTCGGCGGCAGCCTCGAGTATGCTGCTTTTAAAGAGCTGCCACTCGGTTTCTCCTTCACCAGTCATCAACGGCATCTGTTCAAACAGTCGGGCAAGGCACTTTTCGCTCTCGTATCTGCCGAAAATATTGCTTCCCATTTGGTTCTCTAGTTGCTTCTTCCTGCAGATCATCGCATGGTACTTCATGTCTCCCAACGTAGCATTACAACAACGATGGCGATAATTTGACAGGTTTTTACCTCCTTTAACGGGAACACCCATGACAGAACGTGGTTGTTTTGGC